GTGGCCTGGGGCCCCAGCTCAGTGCAGCCAAGCCGAGACCCCAGGATCCCGGCTCCAGTGCATCTGGGGCCACAGTTCCTGCTCCCTGCCCCTGCCCCAGCGGGGGAGGGACACTCACTGCGGTAATTAATTATAATTATTAATTATAATAGAGAAGGGGCTGGAGCAATAGCACAGCGGGTAGAGCGTTTGCCTTGCAAGCGGCCAACACGGGTTCGATTCCCAGCATCCCACATGGTCCCCTGAGCACCGCCAGGGGTGATTCCTGAGCGCAGAGCCAGGAGTAACCCCTGTGCATTGCTGGGTATGACCCAAAAAGCAAATAATAATAATAATAATAATAATGAAGGCCGTGTGCGTGTGCACACTGCTTTCTTTTTTGTTAAGTTAGAGTTTTTATTTATTTATTTATTTTGAATACATCATTCGATATGCCAAACACAGTAATAACAAAGTCTCACAATGGAGACTGGGCCCGCTCAAGCAAATCGATGAACAACGGGAGGACAGTGCTACAGGGCTACTTCTCAGAAAAGCCCAGGGAGGGAGGGAGGGATTGGCGTTGCCCCACTTGACAGGTGGGGATACGGGGCCTTGGGAGGTTCTGTGACACCACACAGCTAGTGGGGGCAGCGCTGGCTTTTGGACAGTGAGACTCTGAGCTGGTGCCCCGACACCCCACCAGAGGAGGATCCGAGGACTCTCGTTAAGAAACTCTGGTCTGGGGACAGAGGCTCAAGCAATAGGCAGGCAGAGCCCTGCGTTTGACCCTCACACCGTGGGGCCCCCCCAAACACAGCTGGGTGTGTTCCTGGGGAAAGATGAGGTCATGAGGTGTTTCCTTCCCTGCTGGAGCTGAGTCCTTGCTCAGAAGGTCCAGGCACACAGAGAAGCTGTGATGAGTGACAATCCTGAACCCCAGCTCAAGGGCTAATTGTCACCCCTCAGACTGGGGCTCCCTGAGGACAGGATATGTCCCTTCCTCTCCTCTGTCACCTGCCAGTAGCTCTCCTTTCAGCCTTTCTAGTACTTTCTCACTTGGAGACTCTGACTTTAAACCCAGTGGTCAGTGGACAGTGGACAGTCAGTGGTCACTGGCTGCCCTGAGTGCAAACGCCTCTTTAGGAGGTTCGCAGGAAAGGGGCTGGATCTGCTTAGGGCCCCGCTTGTCTGGTTTAAGGAACAAGGAGCCCAGTAGCCCCTGAAGGGCTTCATGCTCTTTTGGGGAAAAAAATACATTTTGCTTGTTGGAAAAAATTTTTTTTCCCTTTGAGCTTTCCAAGGACAAAAAATGGAGAGAAAGCATGGAGGGGCTGGTCTCTCCCGCCTTCACGGCTCAGGCCCCTGTGTCCTGCCCCTCCACATGCTGACTGCGTCTGCGGACAAGTCAATGACCATCACTCTGCTGGGAATCGCAAGGGTGGGGGGTGCTGTCAGAGCCTTGGGGTGGCGGTCCTGTTAGAACTCGGGGTGGGGGTCCTGTCAGAGCCTCGGGGTGGGATCCTGTCAGAGCTCAGGGTGGGGGCCCTCTCAGAACTCGGGGTGGAGGCCTATCAGAGCCTCGGGGTGGGGTCCTGTCAGAGCCTTGGGGTGGGGTTCCTGTCAGAACTCGGGGTGGGTCCTTCTCAGAATTCGGGGTAGAGGCCTATCAGGGCCTCGGGATGTGGGTCCTGTGAGAACTTTGGGGTGGGGGTCCTGTCAGAGCCTTGGGATGTGGGTCCTGTCAGAACCTCGGGGTGGGGGTCCTGTCAGAGCCTTGGGATGGGGGTCCTATCAGAGCTCGGGGTGGGGGTCCTGTCAGAGCTCGGGGTGGGGGGGTCGTGTCAGAGCCTCGGGGTGGGGGTCCTGTCAGAGCTTGGGGTGGGGGTCCTGTTAGAATTAGAGTGGGGGTCGTGTCAGAGCTCAGGGTGGGGGCCTTCTCAGAACTCGGGGTGGGGGTCCTATCAGAGCCTCGGAATGTGAGTCCTGTCAGAACCTTGGGGTAGGGGTCCTGTCAGAGCCTTGGGGTTGGGCTCATTCATTCTGCAGAGGGGGAAGCTGAGACCCTAAGGTCTGTGTCCACATGTGTGGTGCTTGCATTACCGCCATTAGAAGTGTGTAGAATTGAGAATGTGTGAGTGTGTGTGTGTGTGTGTGTGTGAATGTGTGATTCAGTGTGTGTGTGATTTTGTGTGTAGTGTGTGTGTGTGTGTCATTGTGTGGAGCGAGTCTGTGTGTGTGATTGTGTGAGTGTATATTGAACGTGTGTGGAGCCATATATGGAAGTGGGGTCCTAGGCATCTTTTCACAAATGGGGCCAGGACGAGCTCCAGGGAGTGAGAGGCTGTCGCCCCTGGGATGGAGCCAAGAGACAGGCTGAGGCCTCTGAGGTTTCTGTCTGGAGAGGCTGTCGGGCTGGGGATTAGCAGAGGGCTCGGGAGGGCTGTGGTGAGGGACAGACTCAAAGGTCCGAACTTGGAGGCTGAGAGAAGGAAGAGAGACTGAGGTGGGAAGAGGGGGCTGTCTTTTGTGGAGGCATTCTGTTGGGGTCTCAGTAGCCGGCCTGAGACTTTGACTAAATCCCCTGGCCCTGAAAGCAAGAGCCGGCCCTGTTTACAGGGGCTCTGGGCTTGCTCCAGCACTCCACACACAGTAGGCACTCTGGTTGAGGATGGAGGATAGAACAGTTACCATCTGCCTGAGCTGATACACCCGGCCCCGAAAGCAGGAGATGTAAACCATTAACTCACATCTGTAATGAGCCTGACCAGGTAAGTGTGATACACGTGGATTGCCCCTTGAAATGGAAGTATAAAAACCCCTGAGATGGGGCTGGAGCGATAGCACAGCGGATAGGGCGTTTGCCTTGCACGCGGCCGACCCGGGTTCGATTCCCAGCATCCCATATGGTCCCCGGAGCACCGCCAGGAATTAACTCCTGAGTGCAGAGCCAGGAGTAACCCCTGTGCATCGCCAGGTGTGACCCCAAAAAAGCAAAAAAAATAATAATAACCCTGAGAGCTAATAAGCGGATTGCTGCTTGACTAGCAGCTTTCTCCCTCCGCGTGGTTCTTTCTCGGTGGCGGCAGGAGTCCTCGGTGCGTGGAGGGTCAGGGCAGAGGCTTCTCCCCTTCCCACTCCCTCTTCGTAAGTCCAGCGACCAGGGGGGTCATACTGGCCAGTCTCTGCCCTGGCCCTCGTCCGCGCATCCTGCGACTCCCGCCGCCACTGAGAAAGAACCACGCATTTCAGAGTGGGGTGCTGTGGGGCCGGGATGACCTCTCGCCGGGGTGCTGAGCACCGGCCAGGAGGATGATTGCTGTGCTTAACACCAGGCGGGGACCTGGGTCCTGTCAGCCGGCCTCACAGTGTCGGGTGCCAGAATAGTCCTGAGGGTGGGACTGTTGTCAACCCCCCGCTTACCAGATGGGGGACCTAAAGCTGGAGGAAAACCAGCAATTTGGCCAGACGGGAGCATGAGTGCCAGCTTGTGTGTCACAGTACTGGCATGTAGGGCATTAGGCTGCCCAGGTTAAAAGGGCTCGGGGGACCCCATTTCCTGGAGGGCAGGAGGGACGAGCTGTGTGACCCGGCAGCTCGCCTGGGTTTTCCCTCCTGCTGCCTTTGCTGGTACCTGCTGAGAGGCAAGGGCCTGGGATGGCCCAGGAGGATCCTGGGGTGGGGTCCAGGGCCGAGGTGGCCGTCATGCCCGGGAGGTGTGCCCAGCTCCTGGGAGACAGATGCGCCCTAGTTCTGCAGCCCTGGAGGTGCTGAGAAGAGTCATGAACGGGGTGCAGGTCCCCAGAGAGTGCTTTAGGGAGGGAGAGAAAAGGGCCATGGCCTGGGTCAGGGGAGGCCCAGTGGGACTGGAACCCAGCGTGGACCTGGAGAGGGGAGGAGGCCAGTGGAGGCCTGGTCACCCACACCTCCTCCAGGCAGGCCGCTGGATTCCGTGTCTCAGTCCAGCCGTGTGCCACAGATGGCTGTGAGGCACCGGTCAGAAACCCAGCACGCTCCTCCACGAAGACAGAACAGCCTGTCTGTCTGTCTGTCTGCCTGCCTGCCTGCCTGTCTGTCTGTTTCTCGCACAGATAGTTCCTCCAGACTGTATCTCAACCTCCTCCTGACTGTGGTCTCCTTCCTGTGGAATAAGGGTCCCCAGATACACAGGACACGCCTTTTTTTTCAGGGGGGGGAGGCGCACCCAGTGATGCTTAGGGGTTACTCCCGGCCCTGTGCTCTGGAATCTCTCATGGAAGTGCTTGGGGGGCCCTCTGAGTTGCTAGGGATCGAACCCTGGACGACTATGTGCAAAGCTAGTCCCCTCCCGCTGTGCTATGGCCCAGGCCCTGCAGGACACACAGCTTCCTGGTCCCTCTCCCCATCCGCCTCTACATCTGTACGAGGGGGCAGTGCCCACCCACGCCTCCTTGGCGGGGCAGTCTGAGGACGAGGAGCGAATATTTGTAAGACCTTCGGCCAGGCGTCTGTGTCTCGGGCTCAGTGAGTTGGAACTGGTGGCTCTCAGCTCCGTGGAGACCTCCGAGTCCCCCAGCCTGTGGACATCACCTTGCTGCAGTGCTCAAGGGCCTTCCCAGGGCCACAGGGGAGCCTGGCCTGCACTCAGGGACCCTTCTTCCAGGAAGCCCCCCGGAGGTGGAATTGTTTCATGAGCAACACACAAGAGACATGGGGTCATTGGACCCTGAGCAACTGGGGCTCTGGGTGGAAACCTCTAGATCTGACTTGACATTGTTGAGACATAGAGAAATGGGTACCAGAGATTCTAGAACCTGACCAGTGAGGAGGGGTGGCAGGTGGGGAGTTTCACTTCTCGGGGTGCAGAGCAGAGGCGCCTCCCCTGCATTAAATTAAAATTTGGGTTGGTGAAGAAGCAACTTCTCTCTCCCTCCTGTGCCCGAGGCCAGGCCCCGGGTTGCCTCCCGGCTTCAGGAATGGCCCCAGCCCCAAAGAGGCCTCCTCTCCTCAGGGCCCTCTCACTCTCTTCTCTCTTCTTTCAGGAACCTCTTGGACAAAGACATGTTTTCCAAGTCTGACCCGCGTAAGTCATGTCCTGACAATAATGCCTGTCACGGCAGCCTCTCTGCTCTCACCGATGGCAGATGCCAGCATGTGCGCGGCTGGCCAGGTCCTGTTGCTGGTGACGTGCGCGCAGTCACTCAGTGCTGGAGGCCCTGGGAGGTTGGGAGGGCCCCCTGTTGTCTACGTGTGGTCCCTGTCCCAGTCCCAGGGAAACCCGGGTCTCCTGTGTTCGATTTGAGGCCGCCTCTGAGCCTGGCTGGCCTGTCAGTGAGGTGGGCTGAGGAGAATCAGTCACTTGTGTGGCGTCTCCAGCCTCACTTTTGTCCACATCCTGTCAGCCATCTCTCCGCTCTCCTGTCTGCCTGTCACTCTCTTCATATCCGCTCCCCCTGGGATGTGGAGTCCTTGACTCAAAGGGGACCTCGCCCAGACCCGTCTCTGCCCTTCTCTAAGCCCGCACGCCTCCCCCAGACCCAAGGCATCTGAGGCTGTGTAGGTCTATGTGGGACCCTAGACATCTCTTCGTGAGTGGTCCAGGGGGGTCCAGGGAAGGGAGAGGCCTTTGCTCCTGGTGTGAGGTGGGGTAACCATCAGAACCATCCCTTTCAGGAGCCCCACTTTCTCTCAGCCTGGGGTATTAACCCCTTTTCTTTCCTCTCTTCACAGTATGTGTCATGTATACTCAAGGCATGGAGAACAAGCAGTGGCGAGAGGTAGGTACAGCCTTTCCCGTGTGGTAAACACCAGACTGTTTGCATGGCCTGACTCTGACCAAAGAAGTCCCCTGACGTGTTTCTAACCACAGCATCTGAGCCCCAGCGGAGGGAAGGCCTGAGGAGGGGCAGGAGGGAAATGTTCCTCACGAAGCCCCAGTCTCAAGGGACACAGCCCTGTCCTCAGGGAGCCCCAGTCTGAGGGGACACAGCCCTGTCCTCAGGGGAGACAGCCCCGTCCTCAGGGGACCCAGTCTGAGGGGATACAGTCCCGACCTCAGGGAGCCCCAGTCTGAGGGGACATGGCCCTGTCCCCAGGGAGCCGCAGTCTGAGGGGACACGGCCCTGTCCCCAGGGAGCCCCACCCTGAGGGGGTGGACAAAGGTTTTTAGACCCACATTCTCCTTGTGTGGTGATTTAAGGTGATCCCAGCATCAAGTTTCCACAATAGCCATCCCTGATTTCTGACTAAGGTGTTGGCCTCGGCTTGGTGATTCTCCTTTCCAGAAACCTTTGGTGAGCTCCCCATCCTCTGAGCCTGGCTTCCAAGTCCTGTGCCACCATGGAGGACCTACTTTCTGCCTGTCACTGTCCCCTCTCTCACTCCATGTCCCCTTTGCCCCATGGTGTGGTGTATAAGGACAGGGCTGACACAGGAGCTCATCATTGAGAATCACAGGGACGCAGGGGCCACAGAGACAGTACAGAGGACAGGGAGGCGCTAGCCTTGCTCGTGGCCAATTTGGGTTTGATCCCCAGCACCACGTATGGTCCCCTGAGCCCCTCCAGGAGTGATCTCTGAGCACAGAGTCAGGAGTAAGCCCTGAGTACTGCTGGGTGTGGCCACAAACCAAAAAATCCTTTTTGGGTCACACCTGGTGTTGCACAGGGGTTCCTCCTGGTTCGTGCACCAGGAATTACTCCTGGCGGTGCTCAGAGAACCATATGGGATGCTGGGGATCAAACCCAGGTTGGCCGCATGCAAGGCAAACGCCCTACCCGCTGTGCTACCGCTCCAGCCCTGACTCTTGAGACAGCGTTTAGCACCCTGCAGCCTGGGGGGTCCTGTTTGCCCATAATCTCTTGTTTGCTTGGTGCCCTCCACAGCTCCGTCAGACCCCGTGTGCCTGTCCCCTCTGCCTGCCCTCTGCCCGCTGGCCTCCCCTTGTGTCCCTCCATCAGTCACTCCAGCCATCCGCCTCCCGCCTCAGAGCCTTTGGCGGTTCTTCTCCCTGGAAAGCGTTTTCTCTTTCTTTTCGATATCAGGGATGGAACCCAGAGCCTCACATGTGCTCTGCCTTCATGCCACCTCCCTGGCCTTCTGGAATGGTCTCTGTCCAGATATCCACACGGCCTCGCCATAGTCCCCTCAGGCTTCACATCACTGTCACTGTCTCTGTCCTCCCATTGTTCATCGATTTGCTCGAGTGGGCCCAGCAACGTCTCCATCGTGAGACTTGTTGTTACTGTGTTTGGCATGTTGAATACGTCATGGGGAGCCTGCCAGCCTTTGCCATGGGGGTGGAGGAATTGAACCCAGCGAGATACTCTCGGTAGTTTACGGGCTCTCCGAGAGGGGTGGAGGAATCGAACCCCGCTCGGCTGGGTCAGCCGCGCGCAAGGCAAACGCCCTACCGCTGTGCTATCGCGCCAGCCCAGGCTTCACATCACCTCTGACTCTAAGGCTTCAGCCTCTGCAGTACGTCTCACCTGCCCACCTGATTGTTCCTCTTCACTGTCACCATCAGCCTCATCTTGGTCTAGTCACGGGCTGCAGGGGGGCAGGGGACATCTGCTCTGTTGCTGCTTCCTTCTGGACACCTGGCACAGTGCCTGGCACCCAGTAGGTGCTTCAGAGGAGAGATGGGGGGTGGGGGCTGTGGAAGGAACGGGCTGGGAGCAAGGAGTTGCCCCGGGCTGGCGAGCTGGGGTGGCACTTGTCTTGTACCTCTGTTTCCTTTGTCCTTGTGGGGCCTTCTGGTTTTCAAGCAGATCAGAAAAGGGGTGTGTGGGGCTGTGGTGAGGGGTCCTGGCAGGGGCTTTGAGGGTCTCGCCAGGGCAGGGCAGAGGCAGCCGGAGAAGAATATTCTGTTCCCTGGCAGGTTGTGGGAGGCGAGCTCACAGGGCAAAGAGCCAAGGGCAGTGTTCTGATCCCTTCATATCAGAAGTGACCGGAGTGGAGCTGTCCCTCTGGCGATAAAGAGGGACAGAGAGGGGAGCTGAGGGGGTGTGGCCTTGTTGTCCCAGCCCTCGCTGGGCCCCGGTCCTGGGAGAGAGGGAGGGAGGGGGGAGGCCCTGGGCTCTGGATGGAGACTTGGCGTGGGGTCTCCCTGGGAGAAGGCGCCTCAGTGCAGACCCAGGCCTAGTGCAGGGGCCCGCGGGACCCCCTTCAGAGGATGTGGTGAGAGGGGCTGGAGTGATAGCACAGCAGGTAGGGCGTTTGCCTTGCACGTGGCCGACCCGGGTTCGATTCCCAGCATCCCATAGGGTCCCCCGAGCACCGCCAGGAGGAACTCCTGTGCATCACCGGGTGTGACCCAAAAAGAAAAAAAAACAACCCCAGAAGATGTGGTGAGAATGGCCCGTGACGTCCCCAGAGCATCCCTCCCCTCATGGTGCCCCTGTTGACCCCTTCTCCCGCCCTGCTCCCCTGCCCCAGGCTTGGGTGGGTGGCCAGTGAGTTATGTCCACATGGGAAGCGTTTGCAGAGGGGCCCCCTCCAGAGTCTGAGCCATGAAGTGAAAAGCCGGGAGCCAGGAAAGAGTTCATCTGCCTGATGGGAGTAATTACTTCCTCAGGAACCCCCGGGCTGCAGAAGGTCAGCCTTCACGACATGATCACATCCTGCCTTGAGACTCAGGATGGGGCCGAGATGGGGGGGAGCCGGCACTTAGTAAGGGCTGCACAGGTATTCCAGCACCACAGGTGACCGTGACACAGGGAACTGGAACCAACGAGCGCCCTCCCCAGCTCCCCAGTCAGGAACGTGCAGCTTGGCCTGCCACAGCCCCGTCTCAGGCCAGTGTGTGCCCAGCCACATCTGAGAGGTGTGGGGCCGGGCAGGAGAGGGGGGTGGCCAAAAGCAGACACTGGGCGGAGTGATAGCATAGCGGGGAGGGCGTTTGCCTTGTAGGCGGCCAACCTGGGTTCGATCCCCGGCATCCCATATGGTCCCCCCCCCCGAGCACCGCCAGGAGTGATTTCTGAGCGCCGAGCCCTGAGCATCACCGGTGTGGCCCAAAAACCAAACAAAAAAAATGGAATGTGGTTGAGGGGTACACGGTGTGGACAGGAGAGGGTGTGGCTGGAAGGGAGTTTAGGGATCACCCGACAGGGTTTCGGGTGGAGTGGGGGGGTCCTAACCCCCAGCACGGAGTGGTTCTGGGAGGGGCGGCTGGAGCTGGACTTTGGGGAAGCAGGTGACCAGCCCAAGACGGGAGCCTGCGTGAGGCATGGAGGATGGAGGGCCAGGATGAGCTGGTCAGTCCTGGCAGGGGCCCAGGGCTGAGGGGCAGAGAGCACCTCCTTATCAGCTCAGGCATGAGGAGCTGTGGGAACCCCAGGGGTCTCCTCCTCGGGGCGGAGAAGGCAGCGCTGCTAAGCTCTCTTCTGCCAGCACCTCCTCTGGGTGGGGGGCCCAGATGAGGTCCCCTGGGCTGCTTTGGGGTGTTCTGGTGGGGGTCCCAGGGTGTGACCGACGTGAAGAGGGGAGGAGGGGCGGCAGCCTTGAGGAGACTGCCTACCACTTTCTCTCCCTGTCTCTCACCCGGAGAAGCACCTGAGGAATCTCTTGGCAGGGAAGGAAGTCAGTCCTCGACCTCCCCCGGCCTTCCGGGCCTGCTGCCTGGTCCTCACAGGGAAGTTTTAGGAGAGGCAAATGGTGAAGGAAAACGGCTTTTATTGGGGAGTTTGGAGGAAGGGGAGGGAGGGAGGGAGGGCGAGTGAGAGAGAAGGCCAGCTCCCCCAGAGGGTCTGAGGGTCCACATCTCACAGTGAGGGTGCAGGCAGCTCGTGCTTCTCCCTTGTCCAAGTCAGCTTATCTGGTGTTCCCACCCCTACCCCCACCCAAGCTGCCCCTACCTTTCTACCTAGGTTAGAGTCTGTTGCTAGGGTGGTTGCCAAGGCGGAGTGGTGGGGGCCACGTGACCTTCTTCAGATATGCTTTGCCTGGCCTTTGCCTCTGCTGGAGCGCCTCGGGGATGGGGTGGGGTGGGGATCCAGCCTTCTCTGGGGGTGCTGATGCCAGTCAGAGTCATCAGGCCCGAGTTCCTGTGCCCACGAATGCTCTTAGCTGCTTTAGGGCTAGTAGCAGAGTTTTTTTTTTTTTTTTTTTTTTTTTTTTTGCTTTTTGGGTCACACCCGGCGATGCACAGGGGTTACTTTACTCCTGGTTTTGCACTCAGGAATTACTCCTGGCTGTAGCTCAGGGGACCCTATGGGATGCTGGGAATCGAACCCGGGTCAGCCGCGTGCGAAGCCAACGCCCTACCCGCTGTGCTTTTGCTCCAGCCCCGGGTAGCAGAGCATTAAGTCCCACCGCTTGGTTTTAGTATGCCAAGTACTCCCTGCCAGCCCCCCCCCCCCACCACCACCATCCCCATCTTCCCATCTGCTGGCTTCATGGCACAGAGCAGAGTGGCAAGAGGCCGGGATTGGCGCTCGAGGGGCTGCAGAAGTGAGACACACGTTGGGGCCGGGCAGGCCAGCGGGACCCAGGGGAGCGGAGGACACCGGGTCCCTGAGAGCGAGCACTGCCCTGAGGAGCACAGGTCGGCTGGCTGCGAGCTATTCTGGGCGAGGGAGACGCGCTCACACACACAGCGAGGCAGTTTCCTTGGCCTGTTTCTCTGTGACCTGCAGAGGCGCTCTCGGGAACAGAGGATATAATTAAGACCCAGATCCACCTCCGTCTCCGTGGCTGCCCCGGCCTGGAAAACCTTCCTTTTCGGGAAACCAGGCACCACTTCCCCATCTCCACCTGCTGCTCAGGGCGAGGGCCT